TCCTTACATTGGCACTATGGATTAGGATTATAAATATTAACTCCCATTTTACAGGGAAGAAATTTGAGGCACAGCATGGTTACTAAATATCTGAAATTCACAGAGGCTGCAAGTAGCAGGGCCAAGATTTCATATTAAGCAAGCTAACTCTAGAGCCAGTCTTGAGCTTATCACACCACTATACCTGTCTCAGAAATGAGAACACAAATTATGCTAACAAGCTTTTCCAGACCAAAAACTCCTAGCATGGAAGTTACAAGTTCTCTAACTAGGATGCCTTTGCTGATAAATATTAAAACAGTCACCTTTCTCTGCCCATAAAACATTTCTATTCCTGTAATATGAATATTATTGATAATAAAATATTCAGTAAAGCAAGATACAGAATTGTACATTCACTAGGCTACAAGAGTGCTAAAAAGAAACTTTATATGTAGGAGAAAGAGCTGAAACAAAATGCATCAGTGTGCTAACAGTGGTTTAACAAGGCAATGAAATAATGTTGACTGTTTGCCTTTCTCTCTTAAAGTATGGGCTTGGTAGTTTTATAATTAAAAAGACATATTTGAAGGGAGTGCTGAGATAACTTGAGCCAAGCTGAATGGGGACAAAGCTCAGAATACTTCTTAAAGTGCCTTTTTAAGATACTTGGGCTCAGACACGTTGTTTCTTTCCTCCACTGGAGTGAGAAGAGAAACAACCTGAGTGGAAGTGCTTCAGAGAAAAGCAGTGATACTCCCCACCGCCTTTGCCAAACCTAAAGCTGAATTGGGAAATCTCTCCTTCCTAGGACACATGCTTTCTCTGGAACTTTCACTTTTATCAGAGTTCTGAAGTCAGTGTGGTGAGGAAAAGTACAGTGTTCTACTATGAACCATCCCCATCCAGAGCCCTTCTTCCTATGCAGGAGTTAAGGTTAAGAGAAGCAGTGACTGGCCAGACTACTACTTGTCATCAATGGGAGGACAGCCCAGTAAGGTTTGAGGGAGCTACTTAAACCAGGAAGCAGAGCAAAGCAAGGAAACACTGCAAGGTTTGAAGTCAAGAAAGGAGTGTGTCAGGGGTGTGTCATTTCTCTATACTTTTTCAATCTGTATGTAGAACAGATTATTCCAGAGGCTGGACTTCATAAGAAATGTAGCTTGGAAAAAGACAGTGTGCATTATGCAGATGACACAACCTTGCTTGCCAAAACTGATGAGGACCTGAAGTGTTTGCTGCAGAAGTTCAAGGACTGCAGTATTCAATATAGATTGAAGCTCAACATCAAGAAAATATTCTCACCACTGGGCCTGTTCGCATCATCATGATAGATAAAGAAGAAATTGAGACTGTTAATAATTTCATCTTGCTCAGATCCACAATCAACACTCTTGGCACCAGCAGCCAGGAAATCAAAAGACAGACTGCGCCAGTCAAGTCTGGTGTCAAAACACCTCTCAAGAGTGCTGAAGAGCAATGATGTGAGTCTAGAGACTAAGGTGCACCTGATCGAAGCCATGGTCTCTGCAATTACTTGCTATGCATCAGAGCGCTGGACAGTGACTAAGGATGACAGAAGAATTATGGATGCCTTTGAGTTGTGGTGCTGGAAAAGGGTATTGACCATACCATGGACTGCCAAAAGAACAAACAAGTCTGTCTTAGAGAAGGTGAAACGAGGTTGCTCCTTGGAGGCAAGGATTTTGAAGCTTTATCTCGCACACTTGAGGCATGTTGCCTGGAGCAGTGACTTATCAAACTTGGGCTCCTGTGCCTTTCCCTCACATAGTACCATAGATAGGGGACAAGGCATTCTTTCAGGTTGGGCATGGATTCTCTTGTGGAATCCTCCCCTCCCTACTCCACTACTGCCAGAATTCAGCCCTGCACTCTGGAGAATTAGGATTCCTTTCTCAGCTGGTTCAGCAGACAGAGAACTGTACTTGGATTCAGTATCTGCCCCATAACATAAGAGAAGAGGAAAAATATTGCGTGGGTTTTTTTTCCTTCTAGCTTTTTTAGTTAAAAACCTTTTAGTGCTATAGCTTATTACCCAGTTCACTTTCTTTCTGATTTCACTTATATCCAACATAAAGCTGAAAATGTGAGTTTTCAAACTAAAGCTCAAGGATTCGTACTTTGGCTATGTTGCCACCCAAAAGTGTTTCAGGAAAACTGGTTATGTAAGTGATACTTCCTGTTTACCCTTTTAAAATAATGTCCAAAATGAATTGTGCATGCAAAACTGTTCAAGTATCATATATTTGATGTGCTTTACTTTCTTAAGAGTGTGATACACAATTGTAGTGGTGCAGTTTGCACACAAAGAATTTAACCAGGAGTCTCATCAACTGTAGATCCTATTTTTAAAATTACAGTTTGAAAGTGAAATGTAAGAAGCAGAAGATAAAAATTCAAGGCTGACAGCTATGATTAAAAATACCTGTTAGTGAACAGCCTTCACATTTCTGATGTTTTCATGCATCCGTTAGGCTTCTTTCATCCTCCTTAAGAGATACAGGTTTCTTCTAAATCCCAGAAACTTCCATTCTGTCACCTTCCAGATGACTCTGACATGCAGATTTCTCAAATTCGGCATGTGCCAGATGCCAGACTTGCACCTTCTGCCATATTTGTGGTCCTATAGATGGTCTCGCCACCCCTACAGCTGGACAAGTTGGAAACTGAGGTCTTCCTTACCTTCTTTCTCCTCTTAACTTCTGGTTTACAAGACCCTGCAGTTGTTAAGTGTCTGCTTAAGCACTTGGCCATTCTCTCATGATCCTCCTTCAGAATCTTGAACCAAACCAAAGGTGCCACATTCACATTGATCTGTAGGCTTTTAGCATATACTGTTATTTCTCCCTCTTTCTCTATTGTGATATTTGCAACCATTCAAGATTGAAACCGTTTATTCCTGGAGGCTTTCCCAGACCTCTGTCAAGGTTGAGTCTTTGGTTCTCCTTCCAGATGACAGTTTTCAAAGAGAAATGAGGCTTTGTTCACAGCCATCTTTGCCGTTTACCGTGCCTGATAGATTGTGTGGTGCCGTCGAGTGTGATTCATAGTAACAGCAGATCTGAACTCTGTCCTATCGTCGTCATGTCAGACACTCGTGAGCCCCTGGCTGCAGAAACTGTCAGTCCATCTTGTTGAGGGTCATCCTCTGTCTTACTGACCCTTCTACCTTTCCAGGCATGACATCCCTCTGTAAGGAACAGCCTCTCTTCAAAATGCCCAAAGTTTGTGAGATGAAACTTGACCATCTTTGCCTCCAAAGACCACTCTGCACTTTTCCCAAGACATATCTGTTTGTTCTTTGGCCATCCACAGAACATTCACTACTCTCCTCTAATACCACAACTCAAAGGTTGTTTTAATCTAACAGGTACTCAATATTTGTAGAACAGTAATAGTTGACACCAACTGAGAACTTTGTGGTAAATCCCAACTTAAGTACATTGTTTTTTCTCATACAAGAAAAAATGAGGGAGATCTAGGAACAGAGTGGTGGAAAAGTCATGGAAAAGCTCTGGCTTGGCTTAAACTGGGATCAGAGTGATGAAAACGTAGGTGGTTGGAGCTATGCCTGTGCCAGAGCTTACTGAAGTTTAGATGAGAGGTTGGTTTTGAGCAAAAGGAGTCAAAGATAACTGCTAGGGTTTTGGCTTGAATGGATGCTGGAGGCTACTGCTGCTTCTGTTGCGTATTCCAAAAGGATTAGTGAGGGGGAAAAGGAAAAATTCTCTTTGGGACCTTAGATTTGAAGTGTTTATCAGGTAGCCAGGTGAAGACGGCCATATAAATCTACAACTCTAGAATAAGACAAAGTAGGGCTGGTGTTTCTTACATCTTTAGGAATTATTAACTTCATAATTCACACAGCAGATAACCAACAGACCAGGATTTAAAGCTAGACACCCTGCCTTCAGTGCCTTGCTTAGCCACTACACAAAGAATTGGTGTTTCCAGTCCTATTCAGTACCAGCTCAGTTTCTACAGTATTAAATTTCTTTATGCAAGCTTTGTGTTCCAAGTATGATATAATTTTAGATTTTTAAATATACTTAGGTATGCTGAAGAGCTTGAGATTGTTACAGGATTACAATCAATACTCTTGGAACCAGCATACATAGGAAATCAAAAGATGAATTGGATTTAAAAAGTCTGCTCTCAGAGCAAAGATGTCAGTCTAGAGACTAAGGTGCACCTGATCCAGGCCATGGTCTTCACAATTACTTGCTACGCATCAGAGAGCTGGACAGTGACTAAGGATGGCAGAAGAAGAATAGATGCCTTTGAGTTGTGTTGCTGGAGAAAAGTATTGAGCATACTATGGACTGTCAGGAGAACAAATAGGTTTGTCACGTAGAGGGTGAAATGCAGTTGCTCTGTATAGACAAGGATCTTCGACGTACTTTGGACGTGTTGCCAGAAGGGACCAATCCTTGGAGAAGGACATCATGCTCGGAAGGGCAGAGGGGCAACACAGGTGAGGAAGATCCTGGATGAGATGGATTGACACAATGACTGGGGTAATAGGGACAGGTGTGTCGGAGACAGTGAGATTGGCTCAGGATAGGACAGGGGTCAGAGCTATTGTGCATAGGATTACTATGAGTCACAAGTAATTTGACAGCACATAACAAGGTTATAAATACACCGCAGAAGAGGAAATAAACCAGGGAAAGATAAAGGCCTGGCATATTGGTGTCCACCTAACACTCTTGCTGGATTCAAATGAAGATTTCTGCAGTTAAATTCTCATCCTACCCTTGTGATTTCCCAGATCTTTATAGGCTGTATTTGAGTATTTGCGAACACTTATGTCTCAGTATTTTATAAAAGAAAGATGCAGCATTTCATATGTTTAGCTCCTGTGAAAAAAGTCATAGCTGTAGAATGTAGGTGAAGTTATGCTCTTTCTTCAGAATGTATGTTTGCATATGCGTGTGTATGCATGTCTTTTTCATATACACACATGCATAAATACAGTAACTTTTTTTGTTTCGTTTTAGGGATAATGACTCTTGCTGTTCACCGAAATTGAATAAGCATCGTGAGCACTTTAAATCTCCTGTTGGTGCCACTGGGCTGACTGAAGACAGGGTTTTGACATTTCAGCGGTAAAGATCCAGCCAAAGTCTCAATTTGCCTTAACAATGTTCCAGAGGCTGAGTAAAAAGTTTGTGAGTGAAGTCAATACTTCTAACCAAGAACCAGAATTTAGTGAGAAAGAAGATGATGAATGGATTCTTGTTGACTTCATAGGTAAGGAATTATTACTGGTTTAGTCTCCACAGTGAAAGCAGAGATTTTTGCATCTCCATTCTTGCATAAGCAAGCCAGTAACTCTACAAGTTTTTAAGCCTTAGAAGTAAATAAACAGTGGCAAGGAGCTGCAACTACAATCCCAGAGGCGCACGGTTTGAATCCACCAGATGCTCTGCCGGGAAAGGAGGGACAATCTCCTCCTGTACCAGTCAGATCTGATTTGATGGTACACTCACACAAAAATAATAAAATAAAAAAGTAAATAAACAAATCTATCCTTTAAAAAAAAATTCAGGAAACATCCTGTGCCAGATCAGTAAATTTGACTGATGTCAGACTTTCCAGTTTTGCAACTCTTCCAGTCTTCGGAAACCAGAGGCACTTCAATAGAAAACCCTCATATTAGACAAGCACTAACCTATTTGGCTCATCATTTGTTTATTCAACAGTGTATATAAACACCCTCAAAAACCATTTCTGCAAAGCTAGCATGAGCTGTTTCTTAACACAGTGTTGTTGTTAGGTGCCATGAGTCGAATATGACTAATAGCGACCCTATAAACAGCCGACCTGAATCCCACCTTATCCTGTGCCATCCTCATCTTCTGACACCCTAGAACCCAATGCTGTATCCTATGCCATCCTCATAATCTCTGACACACTAGATCCCCTTCTGAAGTAACCATGTCAATCCATCTCACTGTGGGTCTTCCTCTCCTTTGCTGAGACCCTCCGTCTTTCAAGCATGATGTTCCTTTCCAAGGAATTCACCTAGCTACACTCATTAGATCTCAGAAGTGGTTTTAGGATCATGGTATGAGTGGATATAAATGCTTTTTTTCTAACTTAGAGGTATGTGAGCATCAGTCCACTAATGGTCATCTCTTCTTTTTTGTGCTCTGAATTTGATGGGTGGCCAACGTGATAATCATCCTCCTGTGGGTCTGTTCAACAACTCTGTGGACTGTGATCTAGACACTTGCACTGGGCTTTCAGCAGAAGAGGAAGAGGATGAGGACATAAGTGAAGAGTCACCTACTGAGCAGCCTGCAGTCTTTTCCTGCTTACCTGCATCTTTTCAGTGCTTGGCTGATCCAAGTGATTCCTGCTTCCTCCAATTTAAGTCGTGTCCAATGGAGGAGAGCTGGTTTATCACTCCTCCTCCATGCTTTACTGCAGTTGGATTAACCACTATTAAGGTGGAAACAAGTCCTATGGAAAACCTTCTCATTGAACATCCCAGTATGTCTGTGTATGCTGTGCATAACTCCTGCCCTAGTCTCAATAAGGCCAGCTGTGGGACTGTCGAATTTAATCCAAGTAATCCCAGGTATGTTATAAGCACTTTTCTCTCCACAGGCAATCAAGATTTTATTTATTTCCACAAGTCAAACTAAATTTGTGAAAGATGTAATTTTGAAAAGCATGTATAAAAGTTCATAGGGTAGCTAATGGCATTAAAAAATGTTCGTTTTAGATCTAAAAATTTAAGTGTGGCACAGCCCCACTTTTGTCCTAGATAGCTGTCTCATTCATAATTTTGTCTGTGAATATAAAGAAAACAATACTAGCATTTCTGCTAAGGGATATCTTGGAATGTAACTATGTTATGATGCACACTGCTTTTTTTTGGGGGGGGGGCTATCCAGTTTTACTAGATGACTGTGTCTTGAAATACACCTTATTTTCTTCCAAATAATCTTGGTGAGATTCTATCAAGGGAGTTCTGGTGGCATAGTCTGTAGGATGTTGCATTGCTAATCCAAATGGTGCACCTCTCATAGCTAATGGGTCAGCCTGTGAGTCAGTTCAGAGTTGTCAGCAATGAGTTTCAGATCACATCAAATGGAATTTAACAAAAGAATCTTAAATGTAAAGTAAAATGACATTTACCAAAGCACTTTGCTTAAAATGTAGGCTTTTCCCTTACTGAGGAAAGATTGCACACTCAGTGGAGTGGTGGTGTTTAGGGAAATCAGGTGATCTGAAAAACTCTATTTAATGGCAGTAGGTTGGGACACGGGCAGATTGGGGACTAGCACTTAGTGAAGATTAGTATGTTCCAAAACAAACTTATAAACATTTATTCAACTTTATCCAAAGAACATATTCTGACATAAACTTCAGGAACATGTTACTTGGCTCAAATTCTAGCTAAGCCATAATGTACTTTTATGAAATAGTCCCTATTATGTAACTTATTTTGGGGACACTGACATTGATTTAATTGCATCTCTTAGGTTAAAGGTGTAAATGAACTGGATTCTTGAAAGCAGTTCAGAATATTCCTATGATTGGTGCTGTCACCAGAGGACCTCTTTTTGGATTGTTGGGGCTCTGACTCGACTCTCTGTGTGTTTATCTCCTCCTATTTCCTGTTTGCCAAATATAAACAGGGCTTAAGCAGCACATTAGTTTGTTAACTTGACCAGGCTTTGCTGCATCCCAAGATCTCAGTGTTTATGAGGGTAAACATACTTGTACCAAGAAGAAAACAAGTTACTTGTATAGATACTTAATGCCAGGCTTTGTACTGCACAGGCCTGCTGATGCCTTTAGTTGGCATATTGTTGTTACCATGAAGTCAGCATTCAGAGCTTTCCAGCAGAAATATTATCTGGAAGTCTGTTGTTGATTTAACTGCTTTTTACAGTTAACTACAAATTAATTTTTTTCAGTCTTAAAAATTCCTCCCACCTGATCCTGATGTCACCTTTGAGAAATCCCATTGAAGAAGTTAGCAAGATTAATAATGTTGTTGTTGTTGTTACTTTAAACTCACTGGTATTTTATATGTTTACTTTCAGCATGCAAAAAGTTTGCATAAAGAAACTTTGTAAGCTAACACCATTTTTTAACTTTTATATTGGTTTGCTTACAAAGTTCATATACATTGTGCTTCACACTATCCTTCATGGACATTGTAAAATAACATTATTGTAAAAAACATGTATACATGTCTTGCAGAAAGACAAATACAGTATGTAAAAACTAAAAATTTAACAATTACTTCATTGCCCAGACATCTAGACATGAATACAGTTAACACCTCAGGGCATATCCTTCCAGATTGTTTTTATGTGCATGTGTGCATGAGTATACATACTCAACCTAAATGAGATTATGTTGTTTATGTTGTTACATGCTGTCAAGTTGCCTGTGACTCATAGTGACCCTATGTACAACAGCTCTAAAGCCTGCCCTGTCTTGAGCCAGTGTCACTGACTCTGACACACCTATCCCCATTGTCCCAGTTACTGTTTCAGTCCATTTCATCAGGGTCTTCCTCTCCTGCACTGTCCTTCCACCCTTCTGGGCAGGATCCTTCCCCAAGGACCAGTCCTTTCTGGCCACATGCCCAAAGTATGTGAGAAGGAGCTTCAAAATCCTAGCCTCCAAGGAGAAATTTGGTTTCACCCTCTTCAAGACAGAACTATTTGTTTTCTAAATGAGATCATATTGTATACTATTTTTAAATCTTCCTTTTAGTTGTAATCTCTTTTTTTAAAAAAAGTAAATTTTCACTTCAAATACTTCTACCCAAATAATAGATTCCCCTAGTAAAGCTAAGAATATTTGATCTAGTCCAGGCAAATTGGTATCCAATTCAGGATCATCGTACTATATGTAGTTGTAATTCTAGTGAAGAAGTTCACTTTTTGGATCGATTGTTTTGTATTCATGAATTACAGACATAATGTATAAGGTAGTTGAACAAATATATACTTTATATAAAGGATCAAAGTAACACATTAAAATTAATTCTTTCTGCACAAAGGAAAGTTCTGCTAATCATAACAGTAAGATAGTAACATTTCTTTTAACTTCCTTCTTTTGGATTTGAATTCTTGTAAGAAAGTCCCAATAAAGCAAGATAAAAATCAGTTGGGGAAAAAAAATCAGTTGCTACCAAAATTTAGAGTATGAGTCTAAGCAAGCATCTATGTTTTATGAGCAGGAAAGAAATTGTACATGTATCTCTTTTTAAAAATTCTGTCTTTAGAGATGTTACCAGCAAGCATAAAGATGTTAACCATCATGCATATAAAAGTACAGTACTTTGTAATTACAGATGGCTTCTATTGCAATTTAGCCTTTATAGATACTGTTGTGAAGATTTGTGTGCTATCATAAGCATATCATATATGACTTTAATGACCCATAGTTAACTGCTTTAATAAATAAGCTATGTCCTTACAATAAAATTAAAATAGCATTTTAAATCTTACTAGTGATTTAATAGTCACCATTTAACATTTGTAGGGCCAGGAAAAGCTGCTTATAGGACATTCTGGCACAGAGTAAGTATACTCCCTTTGAGAATGTGTGGTATGTGTTATCAGTCCGCATAGGAAAGCTAAAGAGTTAAGATACCCATCTTTTAAAAACTACCTTCTTTCTACTAGTTTCCACTTCTTTCCACTAGTTTTCTATGATATTTTTATTAATCTATTTAAAAAGTTAATGCTGCATATCCAAAGATTATACTTCAATCAAGTGGTTATAGGCAGGATATTTAA